TTCACAATTTCTAAAACTCTCCAAAATATGCCTTACAGCCATTTTCCATATGAATTCTGACTTGTTGATTAGTGAAAAGTATAGCACAGGGGTATGGAATGAAATGGGCAAAAATTTGTCCAGTTTGAAGTGGTATTTTAAAAAATTCAGTTTCGTGTGATGGAAAATAATTATGAATCCATATCACTGGGAGAGTATAGCATTTCCCCCCCCCAATAATTCTTTGGGTTTGGTTTTTAAAAAGCAACTTCTCAGAACCGAATGGGAATTGATTGCTAAATGGAGTAATAAGAGTTGTGGTTAAATGTTGAAATTATGTCTTTTTTTGTTCCCTATCTTTTTATATGTAATTTAATAATTTTTAAATTGTTCCACATTACTTTACACAGGAGAAAATCAATTTTCACGAGGCGTGAAAACTTTGGATTCTGATAAATCTGAACATGGCTCTTCGTACAATACTAGTCTATCCAGTATCTTCCAAAATTGTGCAATGGAGGTAAAATTTATAATCTTGAGTAAAAATTTTGCTTTATCCTATGCAAAATTAATTTTCTTTCAGAACATTTTAAAAATAATACATCTTAAAACATTTCTGTTTCCTTTGGAGAGTAGTGTTTTTGAAATGAAATTACTTAAATAATTTTTAAAAGTACCTGTGCCTTTACATATATTATTTGCATTCAATCCACTGATCCACATACACTGTCTGTATTGCTGTTTATACATACACCGCTTTAATATGTCATGATTAAGTTTTGATAGGGAGTTGCAGTCTTACACATCTCTGGTGCCCAAAGGTGAGAAAGATTGAGTCAAATATGTACAATAGTGTTCAAAATTGTGGAAATCTTTTGGGATTTTTAAGGTTTGATGGCTAATAACACCACTTTTTTGGGGGGGAGTAGTACCATAAAATTATATATCAATTATCTTTCCATTATATATCAATGGAAAGATAATTTAATCAAGAATGTAATACAACAAAGTTTGTTCAATTATCTGTACTGTGTTCTATGAAAAGTTATAGCCAAATAACCAGAAAAAGGAAGCACAACTTGCTTAGGTTGATATCAGGTAGCTTTCCTTCCTCTGATTGTAGCCAATGAGCATGAGTGTTTAGAGAGCCAATCAGGTGTCATCTTGTTTTGGCAATGAGCCAATCAGATCACAGTAGGATTCAGTTATTGATGTCGTGTATTGAAGCTGAGAGGAGGACATTTGTCAGTGTGTTATGTGATCGCTATCAAGTTGGTTGGGTTTTTTTGTGTTCTTTCATTTAGTGAGCTTGTAAAACTTAATAAAATTAAAGAAATGGTGCAAAAAGTTGACTGGTCACCCAACCCAGAAAGCGATGTAAAATATTATTATTAAGTGAACAAGGCTACAGTTATAAAGAAATTAGAAGAAAAATTGATGGAAACTTAACCGAAGGTGGCATTTCTACTGTACACTTTTTCCAAAAGGTTTCCACAATTTTGGCTACTACTGTATAGTATGCAAATGGAAAAACATTAATTGCCTGTTGAAGTATGTGAAGTAGAAAAAGATTTAAAAGACCCACTCCTCCAGGAAGGTGCTATAGTATTCATAAGACATATGAGATCTTTCCAGAAGAAACTGGCTAGCCATTGTGGAAATAGTGTGCTAAACTAGACAGGCCAGTTAAATATGAATTTTTTTGCAGGTTTTTGATGAACAAAACAACTTGGAGTTTTGAATACCTGTTTATTTTCATGTCTTTAAAGAAATTGTGTGTTTTTTTTTAAATAGGTCTTAATGTCGAGCTGCTCTCAGTGTCGAGCCTGTGATGCCTTGGTTTATGATGAAGAAATTATGGCAGGATGGACTGCAGATGATTCTAATTTGAATTCTACATGTCCATTTTGCAAAAGTGCCTTTTTACCTCTCCTTAATGTGGAATTTAAAGACTTACGTGGTCTTGCAAGGTTGGTAGACTTTGCCACTAAATGGCCATATCTTCATAATTCATTCTTTACTAATGATAGCAAACTTGGTAATCATCTGAACAAACAGTTGATATGCCGGTTAAATTGTCCTGAATCACATGTTGGATATGGATAAGTTTCTGTTTACAGGAACTTTAACAAGTTCCTGTGTTATGATGTCTATTGGCAAATTGATCTATAAATCTCATTTTTAACCAGAGTGGAATGCAGATTGAGTCCTCTAGTCTTAAAACTTAACAGTAGGAATTAAAAACAATCAATATTCATGATAAATTTGGAATAGCTGGAAGTGCAGGTAGCCCTCAACTTACAACAGTTCGTCTAGTGACCGTTCAAAGTTAAAATGGCACTAAAAAAGTGACTTATGACCACTTTTCACACTTACGACCCTTCTAGCATCCCCGTGGTAGTGTGATCATAATTCAGATCCTTGGCAACTGCCTATTTATGATCGTTGCAGTCTCCCACGGTCCTGTGATCTCTTTTGTGACCTTCTGACAAGCAAAGTCAGTGGGGAAGCCAGATTCACTTAACAATTTGGTTACTAATTTAACAACTCCAGTGATTCACTTCATAACTGTGACAAGGAAGGTCGTAGAATGTGGGGCAAAACTCACTTAACAAATGTCGCGCTTAACAACATAAGTGTTGGGCCCAATTGTGGGCCATAAGTCAAGAACTCCCTGTGTTACAAAGGCCAAAATTATGCTGATGACATTCCTTTCTTCTTTGTGATTGTGTATTTCCTGCCTGCTTTTTTCCTTACCAGTTTGCTTTTGAAACCAAGTACCTCTGGTGATAGTTTACACAGCACTAACATTCCACTAACCACGGATTCTCTGGAACCGAAGTCTGCCTCCGTCCCTGCTACAGATCTGATCAGTTTTTCAGAACCTTCAAGTGCGAACCAGACCATCAGTGAGGAAAATAGCAGCCCGGCAACACAAAGGTACAGACCAGAAGAAAATGAGATTTTCTTGCATGATTCTGCTTGGGAGGAATTTATTGCTTCACTTGAAAATCAGATTTCTTTTAAAAATAGGCTCTGGACTGGCATCATGTTCCCCATTTTGTAGAAAAGGCCTTATTTGGGAATGAAAGGCCAAGACCCAGTAAAGTGTTGGTCTGGGAACGATGAAGCGTTCATCTGATTCACTCATTACATAATATAAAATATGTAATAATGCTCTTAGTTACCGTAGCCACAATTTTTTTTAAGCACTTTGTGCATTAAATACAGTAGGCATTCTTGTGAATAGTGGATGCTGCTAGTGAGTGCTGCTAGTATTGCAGTCAAAATAGTACTAAGAAACCTACAAGGAATTAGTACAATTAGAATTTGTAAAAATATAACCTTTTTGGAAGGGGAGGAAAGCCCTTACAGAATGCTGTACCACATATCTCTCACCTCCCGGAGCATATTTCAGAGTAAGAAATGCTTGGAAGAAGGCAGTTGATCGGCCGGACTACTGAACCAGGAGCCCATTGAAATATTTTGTGGTGGTTCTGCTAGCTTTAATACTCATGAGTGTTTGCATTGTGTTTCGGCCTCAGCACAGCAGAGGAAGAAGACAAAAATCTCAAACACATAAAGCCTCCTGTTACAAATAATTCATCAAAACGCGGGACTTCTCTAACTCGGAGTCACAGTGTTGGTGGCCCGTTGCAAAATATTGATCTTCTGCAAAGACCATCTCACGGCATTTCAACCGTTAGCCTCCCTAATAGCTTACAAGAGACAGTGGTAAGTAACCAAGGTTTTCCTGGTAATATGTTCAGGAACTAGATATTCAGACACTTTCTTTTTTTTCCTATTGTTCATTCTGCCTGAGTTGTAGTGCAGCTTCCATGGATTTTGTATATGATTCATTTTGGAAAGCAGAGCTCTCTCTTCTCTCAAATTGTTTCTGTATTATAACTCACTGGGTAAGACAGTGACATGTATATGTTTACGATATTGTACGTATGCCATCCCTGTTAATGCGGCTCAGAAGTTTATTGAGATTCTTTGTTAGGGAGAAAAGCTGGGAGAATTGATGAAGCATTGCTTGCTCACTAATGATCATTGATGCTTTTTTAGGATCCCTTAGCAAAAAGGACAAATCCTTTGCCTGTATCAGTTCCCTATTTGAGCCCATTGGTTCTTCGGAAAGAGCTTGAATCTTTGTTGGAGAACGAAGGAGAACAAGTAATTCACACGTCAACATTCATCAATCAGCATCCCATTATTTTTTGGAATTTGGTTTGGTATTTCCGACGCCTGGATCTCCCAAGTAACTTGCCCGGTCTCATTCTAACGTCTGAGCACTGCAATGATGGAATGCAGGTAGGTGATGCTTTGGCACCACAAGCAAACGCAGACTGTTAACATTTGGAGGAAAGCCATGTTCTTTGTAAGAGAAACAACTAAAAACTGATTACTTTCCTCTTTGTTCATTCTGGAAATGGCCCCCCTATACGGACAATATATCTGGAGAAGCATTTGCACTTCAAAGTCAAATATGTTGATGGGATGAGTTTTAAGAGATGCCACTGACTGAAATGAAATGACCTTGAGAAAAGAATGACTCTACTCAATAACCCTAGAGCAGTGTTTCTCAACTTCAGCAAATTTAAGATGTGCAGACAACTCCCAGAATTCCCCAGCCAGCATGCCGTACATTTTTAACTTGCTGAAATTGTGAAACGCTGCACGAGGGCAATCCAGTCCAAGGGTTGTGGGAGAGGTTTATATGTTTACAGAAGTGGATTGTCCAGAACAAATGATTCATTATGTTCTTTTTCCATTCAAAATATTGATGGAAAGGTCAAAATTAAGGTTTTCCCCCATTGGTTTCAATGGGGGGGGGAAATAAAGCGAAAGGAACCTTTACATTTTCTTCTGGTGCACTGAAAATGAGTTAACTCTGGACTGGGATTCTTAAACTTAAATCAAAATGAGAGAGAACAGTAATATTGAGATAACACCTTAGTCCTTTCAAGATTTGCTTAAGGATAAGTTTAGAAGATATGGATTAACCACGCTCTCACTGGGGTGCCAATTCGTTTTAGTGATTGAGGCAATCAGGAGACAGAGTTCTCCTTTCACTTCAGACACGAAAGCTGTGTAACTTTGGGCCAGTCACTGTCTCTCAGCTTAACTTGCTTCACAGGACTGTTGTGGGAAAAATAGAAATAAGGAGCATTAGATATGGTTGCTTATAAAGTTGCTTATAAAGTAATAAAACCAACATAAAAACCTAATAAATAAATTTTTGCTGCCTCAGTTACTTATAAAACTAAGTAAGATAAAATAAGAACAAAGCAAAAGCAAAATGCATCAAAGCAGCTTTAACTAGTTATTTAACCTTTAAGGTTAATAGTACAATTATATAGGTTGTGGCTTCTTATTCTATGACATTGTTCTCTATGAAAGTATGTCTAAGGAAATGCTCTTTCTCCACCTGCTTTATAAGGAGTCCTTCATTTGCAGTAGATTGATACAAATCTTTTCCTGTTCCTGAATTTGGCTTGATTTAAATTGGACGATACAAGCTGTTTGAGACATCTGTTTCCTTTTTGTAGAAGAATAATGAAATTAGCATTGTGTTTTTGGTACTGCTAAACATTGGTAGGATTCTCAGTCTGTAGTAAAGTGATAAGAAAGTATGCTTCCTCCATTCTAGCTTCCTCTGACCAACTTGTCTCAAGACAGCAAGCTAGTGTACATACAGCTACTATGGGACAACATCAATCTTCACCAAGAACCTGGGGACCCACTATATGTATCTTGGAGAAATCTCAGTGAGTAAAATGTTTGTGAAATTTTTATCCAAACAAAAATCTTTGCTGTTGTTAGAAATTCTGAAATAATAATTTACTTATGCATATCTGAGGCCAATTTTTCCAAATGACCAAAACTACCTACCTACCTACCTATCTATCATCTATTTTCTTAGTTGTCCATCTCCCTCAGAGATATTTTATTCAAAATGTCTAGGTTTAATTTTATGTCTTAAGAAAACACTCATAAATTATTAGATGGACAAAGCTTTTTTTTATGAGCAGAGAACATTTTCAGTTCTGCAATGTTAGACTTTTCCAAATATGATGGCCACACTGTATAGCTCAACATTTAACTTTTCAAAGAAAAAAAAAGGTACATTTTTTTCAGAATTGAGATGAAATATCAGGGAAAGAATCATAAATGTCCTGATCAAAATTTAGCCAGTAGTCATAACAGCTCCCACTTCAATAAATGCAACAGGATTTGATGCCATACGAACTTAGTTCTCCACAGAAAGTTTTTCCGTATAAATAAGATTTTCTTACTGTTACCATTATTTGGTAAAACTTAAGACTAAATTATAGGTGTCTTTGATTTTATTGTATAGTACTTTGAATTGAAAATTTTTTGACCATGTGCATGTTTTGATAAAAATCTGTGCTGATGTTGCTGCTGCAGCACCTAGAAAGCAAATCCTTACTTTGCTCTGTTGTAAAAATGAATGTACATCACCCTCATGGATTTGACTTCTAGCAGAATGCAACATTCATCAAATATTGTGCAAAGCTTTAAAATGCTGCATAGGTCTTTGACTATGATCATACATAATCTATCTAGTTCTGGGTATCGAGTACTACATGTCAAATCATCTTTACTCTTCCAGTTACCAAAGCTGCTTCTGGTTTTTCCCTTTCCTCCTCGCCCATTTTTTCTTCTGTCCTTCATCTCAGATCTCTCATTTCTGCCACTTCTGTCTTTATCTTTTTTTTTTCATGTCTTTGTTGTGTAACGTTTTCTTAGGTTGCACGACTTTTTTTTAAAAAAAAAAAACCGCTTTATTTTCCCCTTCTTCTAGATTCTGCAGAAAAGAAGCCCTCAGTCAATTCTGAAGAGCAACAAGCAACAAGCACTTTAGTCGAAAATATCAAACTGAGCATTCAGCACAACGATGTCGTTAAACCTATTAATCTCCTTGTGCAGAGAGTTAAGCGGGATGAGAAACGGCAAAGGTAAAGGGGATCACAACTTGGAAATGAGTGCTAACTCTTTGAAAGGTTCCATGCATCCCTAGGAATAGGTTTAGTATTCAGGTGTCCATTGGGGTCCTTCCCCCCCCCATTAGGTAATATGCCATATGCTTTCCTTGGTATGGGGTAAAGATGACCAGAGACAGCAAATGAGCCTGTGCAAATAGCATTTATTTGAAGTAGGTCTTTCCCCCAAATAATCTATAATAGGTGAAGGTGGTGTATAACACCTGAAAAGGCAAGAACAGCTTTTTGAAAAGCTATTGCAAAGAAGTACAATTAGTGGACGTGCATTTAACTGTAGCATCCATAATCAAGATGCCTGGAACAGTTACTTATGCTGGGAATGGCCTGTTGGCCTCTTGTTTTAACCCTTTTTGGAACATCCTTACAATACCTTTTCTCTTGTGTCATCTATACATCTGTTTTTGCTCCCTGTTTTCTATATATTCCATTTCAGTCCTGTTTTTTTCCCCTCATTTGTATCCATTGGAAGGACAGAGAAAAATAATATATGTTTTGTGCATGAAGCAGTCATGAGAAAGGTCAATTTTATTACTTGAAAATCTTATTTTGTGGGGGATTAATTTTAAATTCTTTTTTTCCTTGGTCCTATCCTCTTGGAATATGTAAGTATTAGTGGGTAGTGACCGTAAAGTTTATGCTTTAAATCTACAGCTGGAAACAAAGGAATCAATTATAGACATTAAAGAATTCTGCCAGTAAATAAGAACAGTTCAAACTGATACTTAACACTAATATTTGGATACTGTCACAGAGCTCAGAGGATTTTTGCATGTTAACTCTAAAATTAGGTTCACATTGATGTGAATATTCTTACTGAAAAAAAACTAGTCTATTTGATTAATGAAATTCACATGAAAATTAACTTAAATTCCTTCCTATAGGTTAGCCTTGTAAGAAGGGGTTGAACTTGTCTACATGTCTATGCATCTTTTATAGGAGTTTTTACAGAGAAATCCTTTTCCTGTCCCTGGTGTCCCTTGGAAGAGAGAATATTGATATTGGTAAGAAAGTTCATCTATTATACCATGACTCATCCGTTTGATAGGAAATCTTTAGTATGTTTCAATGATGCATGGGCTAAATCTTCAGTTTTCCAAAAAATTTACTCATTCTCTTAGAAAATAGGGGGGTACTAGCTGTCAGTTTATACTCTTCCTTTAAAAAAAAATCAAACCAATAATATTTAATAAAAATGTAGTGTTACAAACAAAACTGGCTGGGGTTGGGTGGTGGGGGGGGTTTGGGGGGGGAAACATTGTAACTTTCATTTTATTTGATTTATAGCCATGTTCTCAAAAGCAGAGGTCCCCAATCTATGGGCCCTGGCCTCTTGGCCGCAGGGCTGTGTGAGTAGCTGGGCAGTGCACGCAGGTGTGCGCGTGCTCACCCTCCCTCATTCCACCATTGACACGAGTGTTGTGCAGGCGGTGGCAGCACCGCTAGTATCATGCGGTCGGCGGTGTTGCCCCCAACCTTCTGTGGGGGGTGGCAGCACTGCAAGCGGCAGGTGGGCGGCGGCGGGCCACATGCAGGTGGTGGCATTGCCATAAAAGTTGCGTGGGAGCAGCAGGTATGCTGCGGCGTGATCCTCGTATGGGGGGGCGGCACAATCCTTGCATTGGGGTGGCATTTATTTATTTATTTTCAGTGTTTATATGCCGCCCAATCCCAAAGGACTCAAGGCGGCGTACAAAGTTAAAACAATGATAAAACAATAAAATAAAGCAGTCATACCGCGAGTCCGATCATATCCCGGCCCCCCGGGGACATCAGCCCCAGGCCTGCCGGAACAGGAGGGTTTTAACAGCCTTCTTAAAGGCCGGCAGGGTGGGAGTAGTTCGAACCTCGGGGGGAAGTTGATTCCACCAGGTCGGAGCCACCACAGAAAAGGCCCTTCCCCGAGGGCCCGCCGGCCGACATTGTCTGGCCGACGGGACCTGAAGGAGGCCCAATCTATGGGACCTCACCGGTCTCTGGGAGCTGTGCGGCAGAATGCGGTCCTGTAAGTAACCTGGCCCTATGCCATGAAGGGCTTTAAAGGTGATAACCAACACCTTGAATTGCGTCCGGAGACCCACAGGAAGCCAGTGCAGCTCGCGGAGGATAGGTGACACGTGGGTGTACCTTGGCGCGCCCACAATCGCTCTCGCGGCTGCGTTCTGAACCAACTGCAGCCTCCGAACGCTCTTCAAGGGTAGCCCCATGTAGAGCGCGTTACAGTAATCCAGTCTTGAGGTGACAAGGGCATGAGTGACTGTGAGTAAAGCCTCCCGGTCCAAATAAGGCCGCAACTGGTGCACTAGGCGAACCTGTGCAAAGGTCCCCCTGGCCACAGCCGATAGATGTTGTTCCAGATTTAGCTGTGAGTCCAGGAGGACACCCAAGTTGCGTGCCTGCACTGAGGGAGGTAAATTTGCCCCCCCAGGACTAAAGATGGACCATCCAGTTGGCCTTTGGGAGGCAAGACCCAGAGCCACTCGGTCTTGTCAGGGTTGAGTCTAAGCCTGTTCACCCCCATCCAGACCCTCACATCTTCCAGGCACCGGCATCACTTGCAAGCCGCGCACAATCCTCACATGGGGCAGTGGCGCAAACCTCACGCCAGGGCAGCATTGCTGCAGACGACAACACAATCCTCCCCGCTGGTGGTAGCATTGCCACGAGCCTGGTGGTGCAGGTACAAGCCTCACACAGGCGCTGCCATTGCTGAGAGCCTTGCACACTTTCTTGCAGCCCCGTTTGCATGGTGCGCATGCTGGCAACCTGTTTGCACATGTGTGCGTATGGTGCCTGCCCCTCCCTCTCCCACCAATCCAAAAAGGTTGGCGATCCCTGCCCCGAAGAGTTCAAAGTTGTTCATTTTTCCCAACAAAGTAGATTGGTCTGTACGTTTGCCTGCCCTGAAATCACCCAGTGAGTTTCCGAAGAGACTAGACTTAAACCTTGATCTCCCATACTACCTCCTTCACCACCAAGCAAACCAAGAGTGAAGAAATGTATCTTATCTCATAAAATATGTTTGGATTTTGAATTGCGGGGGAATAAAAGGATGACAAATCAATTAATGCAGTATAATTTCTGTGCTTCCTGACTCTTAAATTGTCTTCCTGTTTGCAGAGGCCTTTGACAACGAATACAGAACTGCATATAAAAGTCTTCCAGTAGAAGTACTGAAAAAAATGCAAAAGATTGATTCTCCACCCAGTGACAATGTAGAGTGGTGCAGAAAATGCTTTGGGGCACCTCTCATATAGATTCCACCATGGAAGATTTACCGAGAAAAAGGAGAGATGACTGGGAATGTATAAATTTGGCTTTGAGCTCCCAAATTCTAGTTAAAACAATTGCTGTGTGCAATCCACTTAAGTCAGTAACATGGTTACACTTGATATTTATACCAGCTCATGAATTAAATACGCTAATACAAAATAATCAAATTGACAGTTAACTTTCAACCATGCTCTATTTAATCCTCCCCTTCTCCTTCTATCTAGAAGTGAAAAATGACAACAAAGGGACATTAATTTGCTTTCTTTCTTATGAAGAGTTGCAGTGTTCCTTCTAACTCAAGTTAGCCTTCTAGCTCAAAAGCAGATTTATATATGGAGGAAATTCTACTATATTTGTATGTACATATTTTGTGTACATTTTCATTATGAAATACAATTATTTTCCTTGGTTTAAAAGAATAGGCTTCAGCTTTAGCAAGAGGGCCTGTTAAAAGCCATCACTGTCCCAATTCACAGAAAAATTATAACCCAGATCCTGGCTGTGTAAAGCAAAGTTTATTGTTTCTTCTTTTCATAGTAACTTTTTAAAACTGTACATATGTTTTTCTGAAGCAATGATGGGTATCTACCCGGAGTGGCTCAAAGACTTTTTATAAAGGAAAACCGAGAGTATACATGAACAAGGTACATAAAGGAGCATGAAATATCCACATTTTTAGCATTCATAGAAAATTGCATGTGTGGGGTCTTGTGTACATCTATATACACAGACCCACAAACATATGTACATATATATGGGACAGAGCTTAAAATTTCAGCGCACTAATGTTCCATCCCTGCTTATTTTTTCTAACCTGTGGGATATGTATCTTTTTTGCACTGGCTGAGTTAAATACTTCTATGTTAAATTTATTTATACTCATACATTTGAAGATGAATTTACTGAAATTGAAAATACTAATTTTTAAAATGTTTTATTTCCCTGCTTATTATATTCACACCTCACTTTTCTTGACAATCCTCGGGTTTATCTCCAACATCACATATTCATTTAAAGCAGTGTTGCAATAAAGATTTGGGCAATGTTCAATAATTTTTTTAAAGAAACAATTATGAATTTTAAAAACTGATTAAGATACAAAATGCATTCTTGATCATGACTTTTCAAGGCTGCCTTTTGCCTATATAACTATTCATTCTTTAGTAATACTGCCGGAGATAAGCTACTGCTTATCAAAGTGAAATGATCACATTACGCAGAACACAAGATTTTGCACTTGTTTGAGCAATCTGGTGCAATAGCATTTTTAAAAAATTATTCACTCTAAGCCACATTTCAAAATTCTTGGAAATTTCTTTTTAAAGGAATTTCCATGTTTTTAAAAGCTACTGTCTAAAACAGTTTCCATTGTATTGCTTTCTGGTCTCACCCTTTCAAGGAAATACTGGGGGATTAGGGCGTTAACACTTTCTGTACAATTTAGCAGTTTTAATTTTTGAATCACTTCTGTCCATTTGCAAGTACAATGGGTTTTTCATCTACACGTGATATGTTAATAAACCTCTTATGAAACACAATTCTATCTAGTCATATTTACATTATAGCAATTATATCTTAACATAAGGACAAAAATCTCAATTTTTTTTTTTTTAAATGAAAGCTATTTCTCCGTGACCGTTTCCTTGTTTCATTTATAAACTATTAGTTTATAGTTTACTTGTCATCAGGAGCCATGTAGGCTACCCTGAAACGTTGCATGTTTAACAAATGATCCCTCTTTTGATCCCTCTATAATAGTATAACAAGTCAAAATTCAAAATTGGTCTTATGCTCTGCTATTAGTTTTGTACACAGTAAGACATTTTGACAGTTGATCCGGTACAAATGTTGCTTTGGCATTTGGGGGCCCACCTGTATCCACAAATCCATTATTTTTATTTTTTAAAAAAATAAATGTGATACTAGCGTAAAGGAATATGCCACCTTCAAGCTAGCAAAAAAAAAATAATAATTCCGTGTATTAGCAAAAACAAACAAACAAAAACAAATGCTCTCAATTCTGCAAAAATTCTAGAATATCTTTAGAAAGCAAATATAGGCAGCCTAGATTTTTTTTAAAGTATTTCCCACACACACACACACACAGAAAAAAAGTAAAGATAAGGCAGGGGAGAAGCAGGGCTGTCCTTTTGCTGTGTGGCGTTTAACTGTAGATCTTCCCCAAGTCATTTCATGACAGTTCTCAAGCTCCCAAATTTCCAGCATGCTGACCATCCCAACAGGTTAAGGGGGGGGGGTCTCCCCTCTCAGGATAGTGAACATATAATTCCATGAGGGGGGTCCCATTCTTGAATGAAATTTTCCATCATCCCTAAAGAATGGGCTTGCTACCAAGAATCTTGTTCAATTTCTGACAAGCGTTCAACAATCATGCACTGCCCAATAAACTCTAGTTAGCAAACTATAACTTAGAATGATTGTTAATTAGATCCACAACAGTGGATTTAATACTACATAGGTTTCATACCAAAGCTCTTGTGTGCCTTTTGAATATATCACCTTTGATCTTATTTTAATATAAATATGTATAGGTCAAAACAATATTTAGTGTTTCAATGTTTTTCAACAGGTAGATTCAAGTCACAAGCAATTTCCAAATTTGCTGTTGAAATCAAGTACAGACACACACCTCTCTTACTATCTATAGAGGAATAGCCCATTTTGCTTTCAATGCATGTGTATTAGAAGCCATAGGAAGAGTTAGTGGTTATGCAAATTCTGGGATCTCATAATATGCTTTGATGTAGGTAATATTTTAGTGAAATCCATGAGACTTATTTGTTATTTACTGATTCAAAGATTAACATTTCAATGGCTGGTGAATACTTTTGAAAACCTTAATAAAACAATAAAAAGTGAGTATTCAAAGTTATAAAATAATGCCAATTATATTTGTACAGCTAATTTTTATACATATTTGGAAATAAATCAATGTTTTGGAGAGAATAGAAAAATATCCCTCAGGGCAACCGTACGTATTTATGCTCTAAAACAAGTTTTGAATTAAATGAGATTATGTGGAGGGTATCTGTTGTCAAATGCCATGTAAAAATTTATGTAATTCAGAGCTATTTAATTGTAAGAGGGAAAAAGTATGGAAATATAAACTTGCACGCATCTTACTTCTATTGATGTCATTACCGAATATCAGACTGAAAAATCCATTGTGTTAGATAAATCAAAACCTCTTATCGAGTAGTTTTGTAAAAAAAATAAATTAATAGAGCAATGAAGCCATTTCCCATTTTCAATTGTATTTTATAAAGTAGGTTTGCTGTAAAAACATTTAGGACAGGTTTATGCTCATAACTAATCTACTTAATCTAAAACACTATATCTGGCTTCAAATTAAAAGTTTATAATTTAAAAAGAGCTGTTTTTAAAATATGCATTAGATAACCATAGCCTTAGAAAAGACACATATTAAGATAAATGTGCATCTGTTATTCTTGACCATTGATCGTTTTTACGTAGAAGCAATGTTAGAAAACTTTTTTACAGCTTCTAGTAATTTAGAAATGAAACAGTGAACATCCCAAGCTTTTAATATTTTAAGAAAAACTTGTAAAAGTCACCTTTAAAGTCACCATTAACTGATACATTTGTTTTTATTCTTCCATGCACTGTTAGAGAAACTGGAAATTATCTTGCATTGTAGATAATTGAAATATGAAAATGAGATAATTTAAAAACAAAGAAATGCACAGTTTGCAATTTCTTTAGGGTCGCTTAATTATGCATTTGCAATATGGAAAGACAAGACTGACATGTGAGAGTTTTCTATTACCAATGCAATAATTATAATTCTGTTGTACAAATACAATGTCAGCTGTATGCTTGCTTTGATCTAACAAATATCTAATTTCCTGTAGATAAAAGGGTGGCAATTTTTTAAAATTACTTTTGTATAGATACCCTCAGTGATTTAGAAACCACTTGTTAATATTATTGTTAAAAAAATAAAAGTATACAGATACCATACCTTCTCACGTCTGCTTTTTGTGTGTGGAGGAGGAACTGTTTAGCAGAGGCTTAAAGCTAAAATTAAATGTATAAAATTAACTATATGTTTCGTACATACGCCATGGTGGCACAGTGGTTAGAATGCAGTATTGTAGGCTGACTCTGCCCATAGCCAGGAGTTCAATCTTAACCAGCTCAAGATTGACTCAGCCTTCCGAGATCAGTATGACACTGTAAACTGCTCAAGAGAGCGCTGTGAAGCACTATGACGTGGTATATAAATCTAATTTCTATTGCTATAAGAACGACATAAATAAGAGGCCATTTGCTGAGCAAGGAGAAGCCAAAACCATCACAGCCCTGAATGATATAAAAAATGAAACATCTGCATCAAGCAGAAATCCACTGTAGACATTCATTCATTGAAGTGGCAATTTCAACTGACAGGAAATTAACGAAAAGGATAACATAGAACCAGTTTGTTCAGATCATAAAAATTTTATTTTACCCTTTTTAGGAGCACAGTTCATTGCTTACTTCTGGCTTGATTCAGATTTAGATGTAGAGGCTCTCAGAGAAGACAGTCTACGCCTCTTAGCTATTTGTTCTTGCCGCTTCTCTTTTGCCTCCTGAAAAAGAGACCAAGAATATTACCTACTAGTCTAAAACTGCATCTCAGCTTTTTAAATGCTGTAAAGTCATTGTGTGAAGTCATAAGTACTTTCTTCTCTATTACCATAGCAGAAACTCTTATCTGAAGTCTATCTGTAGCTGTCAATTTCCAAATATGTAAGCATATTGTAATAACATTTAAGGCCGTGGCCAGAAATGTCAGCTACGTTCACCCAACAGCCTTAAGAAACCACATATCCCCAGGCTCATCTTCCTGTCCATAAATTCTACTAGTATACATGAAATACTTACAATCCCCTTGTGCTCCAATATTCAAGGTCAAATATTTCCCTAAAGCAGTGTTTCTCAGCCTTGACAATTTTAAGGCATGTGGACTTCAACTCCCAGAATTCTACAGCCAGCATTGCTGGCTGTGGAATTCTGGGAGTTGAAGTCCACATGCCTTAAAATTGTCAAGGTTGAGAAACACTGCCCTAAAGCAACGTATGCCATTTTTAGACTTGATTCTGTATAGTAAAACTCTGTTTATATTCCTAGCATCGTATGTTGTTCACCCTCATGCGCTCAGTCTTCGTATCAGACAAGTGAAGCCAACGTTGTAAATAGGGTTAAGAAACTGATCTTTTTCCTAATGCGCCAATCGCATGGCTTAAAACCTCAATTACCTGTGGATTAAAATAGGTAGGGATGGGTTAGAACAAAGACCTAACTTATTTGCTCCATGTGTTGGGACGTATTTCAATATGCCAGTACTTCACTGAAGGCCCCCCCCATGGTAATCACTTCATGTAATAATAAATATTCATATACATGCTATTACACCTATTAAACGTGTGTGGGTGTTTGGGCCTGTGAGCCAACAATTTCCTCCACTTTTAACCTTCAAGCTCATCAACGTTTTGCAACGAGGTGTATCCAATACATGGCTTCATGTTCAAGGATCACGTGAAGAGGAACATGACCCTCCCCACACACACACCCCTAATAATTCCTCTCCCCAAGCATATAGGAAACAGACCTTCATCCTCTTAGCCAGAAGCTTGGCATACTCGGCAGCTTCTTCCTTATTCTTCTGAGTTCGTTGTTTCTTTAGAGCAATACGTCTGCGCTTATGCTGCAGGACTCGGGGGGTCACCAAACGTTGGATCTTGGGTGCCTTGGTCCTTGGCTTCTTACCTAAGATTGGCAAGACAGGCATGTCAACAACTGAAGAGCTATTTGAAATCGGAGGCTGATGGTCTATACCAGTGGTTCTCAACGTTTGTGTGACGGCGACCCCCGTCACACAAACGTTCTGCGCATGCGCGGCGCCCATGTGCGGTGGCACCCCCATGCATGGCGCCCATGCGCTGCGGTGCCCCCATGCGCGGCGGCGCCCCCTGAGGGGAGAAAATGGCAGATCGCCTTCTTTGGCGACCCCCGAAAAATGGTCGATCGACCCCAAATGGGGTCGCGACCCATAGGTTGAGAACCGCTGGTCTATACTTAAAACAATAATACCCAAGTAAAATAATTACTCAGGATAAGCCGGGTTGATCGTTAAGGATATGTCTTCCCATCTACAAGGAGATATAAAGGCGTAATTTCACATAATCCACAGAATATGTGAAATAGGCGAAAGGGATATTCAAGGTGTACAAGGCAGCGCGTGACCTGTCCTGGCAAACTCTGGTGGGCACAAAATTCAATCCGATTCCTCTTCAAAAAAATATTATGGAGGATCACCTTATATAGGTAGTCCACTTGCAACAGGTACTTTGTGACCATTCAAAGTTACGGCACCGAACAAAGTGACTTATGACCATTTTTCACACTTATGACCGTTGCAGCATCCCCATGATTATGTGATCAAAATTCAGCCGCTTAGCAACTGACCCATATTTATGACGGTTGCAGTGTCCCGGGGTCATGTGATCTCCTTTTGCGGCCTTCTGACTAGCAAAATCAATGGGGAAGCCAGTTTCACTTAGCAACAACTATGTTTCTAACTTAACTGCTGTGACTCACTTAACAAGTGTGGCAACAAAGGTTGTAAAATGGGGCAAAATTCACTTAACAAATGTCTCACTTAGCAACAGAAATTTTGTGCTCAATTGTGGTCATGAGCTGACGACTATCTCTACTAAATCTAGTTTGAAAGATAAGCAGGAACAATCACATTTATAATCAAAATTGATCTCAAGCATTCGTGTGCAGATAAAGACCACGGGATCAAATGCAGAAATCACTAACCTATAAGGCTGTTTGTTCATGGATTTAATGTACCATGCAGAATGATTTGTCAGTCATAAAAGAATAATCCAGTGAATGTTAAGCTTTATTCAAACATATTAGTTTTAGTGTTAGTGTAGTCATTATCCAGAAAAAAAAATCTCTTAAGTTACTGTCCTGATTTAATCAGATGATGTTACAATTTTTCTTGTTACAACTTTCTGCAGTACAGTAGGTAAGAAATCTTGTATATGTATAGTAACTTCTACAAATTAGATGTTTTGCCACTTTAAAAAGCTACCACATCCCACCTTTGAAAAATGCATTGCAACGGACTATAAATTTAGATATATACCTAAACATGTGCACATCAGCTAGGATATTTGATACCAAGCTATATCAAAGTTTAAGTAGTTTAAGGTAAAAGAAAACTAAGTAATTGACACTTTCACTTAGCTATCATATTTCTTCCCTCAAACCCTTCGACTTCTGTAGAAATTTGAACGGACCAACAGAAAAGCATTACTTGAAGTATATAATTCCCTCTGAACAAAACAGCTAAAGTATTATTTCTATTTTACCTTCTTTGCTCAATGGTCTCCTCACAACATACTGACGGACGTCATCTTCTTTGGAGAGATTAAACAGCTTTCGGATTCTGCTAGCTCTCTTGGGACCAAGGCGACGGGGCACAGTATGATCAGTCAATCCAGGAATATCTTTCTCACCTGGAAAAGTTGTCAGACAACAGGTACCATTATACTATTAGCAAACTTATGCAAAAAATCATCCCTCACCACAAACTGTCTCTGGTTTCTGAATGCTATCCTTTATAAAACAAGCATTATTTTTAAAAAGATAAGAGGGAACCTAAGAATCTTTTATTATTATTAACTTGTCAAAAGTCATATTCCTTTAAGTAATGCCCCACTATATGCCCAGGGGATGGCCTAGGAAGGTTCACTTCCACTTGTCCAAAGTGAAAGCTCAGGAATATTTTCTACTCCTCCGAGACAAATTCTTGCTAATATGTGTTGCCCTCTTCAAATGAAAAATAGACAAACGAGTCACCTTTCTTTATAATGACCAAGTTCAAGACGCTTAAGTTGGCATCAACAATGCATCCTCGAACAGATTTGCGTTTTCGTTCTCCAGTTCTCCTAGGACGGTAACAGGAGTGGCCCTTGCTAAGTAGCAGACGGACACGGCCATGAGTGAGGACACCTTGCTTCATGGGGAAACCTTGTTTGTCATTGCCACCACTAATGCGGACAACGTATCCCTACAAAAAGGAGCAATTTAAACTTTTCGGAAGCGCTTTATAAATCACAACAGCATTTTATCATTCGCTTCAAATGCAGACGTACAATAATATAGCCCCACTTTTAACTACTGTGAGAATTAGTCTTTTCAGCTTGAAGATCCTAAATCAGATAAGCCGCACAAAGGGGGCATCCCCCCCAAAAAAATCTAAGCTATTTGCAGGATTCTTTTCTGTAAGTGGGATTTATCTTATAACTGAGGAGGATTCTGGTGCCTCAAAGCTTGAAGGCCCTTTTCAAGACTATTAAATGTGTTCTATCCAACATTTTCCCATAGCAACGACAAAGAACCTTTTGGGAAAAATTTCTGTAACTATTGTCGTCTTAAAAGCTTTTGCCCATCTAAAATGTCTACTCAGCAAGCTGGAACCTTAGCTTTGAATATACTTTTTGTTTCACAAAAGGCTACATAGCTCAGACCCACTAGTGCTGGACTGACAATAGTTAGTTGACAGATCAAGCCATCTAATTTCTGAAAGCCATTTCAACCACCTCACCAAAGCCACACACTTCCTCTCATTCATGAAGTCAGATGTCCTATCACATCTCTCTGATCCTATTTTTTGGAACTCTATTTACCTATCATCTCTAAACATGTCAACTCAGGATCAAGCATAAGGAGCTCTCTGTCTGCAATTATGTCAATGCTTGCGACCCATTCAATAATACATAATAACAATAATAATGTTGGAAGGGACCCTGGAGGTCATCTAGTCCAACCCCCTGCTCAGGCAGGAAACCCTATACCGTTTCAGACAAATGGCTGTCCAGTCTCTTCTTAAAAACTTCCAGTGTGTACATCAGGGGCTCCCTCAGTCGGTGCCACTCGTCAGGGGAAACCCCGTGAAAGGTAGCAATGCAAAGTCCAAAATAAAACCACAAAAAAAGAGAGACCTTACGCCTTACCTTCCACTCTTCACCAAGAGCATCAGCCGGGACCTCTGCAGTCATCCGCTTCTCGTAGAACGTGCGCAGCTTACGCTCATCGTCCACCTCGATGAGTTTCTGGCAGCCGGTGGCAGGGAATGAAATATTGAGCTAAAAATAATTGCACAAAACGGGGGAAGGAAAGGGAAAGTGTATTAGATCCCAGCGGAAAGAGCACAAAGGAGAAGAGCGGAGTTGGGGCTAACTCCTTGCACAGAGCGCCTGCAAAGGAAGCTAAAACACCATTGCTTCTCGCCTTCGCCCACCCGCCTTCGCCAATCCGTATCAATCCCCGTCGATGGCGACGTTCCCTCGACCGGGTTGGGTTCCGTCTTCCCCCGTCAGCTGGCTTCTGTCCGTCAACATGATTATTTATGAGCCCCGAGAGAAGCCAAACGACAAAAAGCAAGGCTCCGCTCCTACCTTCATGGCACCGGCGCGGCCGCTCGCTCCAGGTCAGCCACGGAAAAGAGGCCCCACTTCCGCTCAGTCGGAAGTCACATAGGCTCCGACGGATCTCGCGAGACTCCACTGAGCGGCTCGTTCCATTCTTGCGTGACGACAGAGATAGAAAAATTAGATTATATATATATATATATTGCTAACGGAGCTTTCTGATTCCATAGACCAGGGGAAGGCAATCTTGGCTCTTTTATGATTCGTGGACTTCAACTCCCAGAATTCCTGAGCCAGCCATGCTGTCTAAGGAATTCTGGGAGTTGAAGTCCACAGAGTCATAAAGAGCCAAGGTTGCCTACCCGTCATAGACTTTTCTTTTTAGCGCATTTTTTTTCCTTCTGTCGTGAGACTGGCGAATTAAATTAGACGTCCAAGATTTATTATATTTTTTTTTACTCTAAATGCATATTCAGGAGAAGTTTTTCGCTTGCATATCTTTGTGGGACTGATCAAGAGTTTCTTAGCAGGTCAGTTGATTGTGGTCTTGTAAACTAACAGATTTATGAAAAATAATCGCTTAGCGCTATATTCAAAGCCAGTTCTTTATCACATACAAAAATATAAAATTAAGAGAGTAACGTTCAGTAAAGGAATCATAATCAGATTAAAAATATAAATATTTCAAATATTCAAATCCAATTTAGAGGATTTTAAAACACCGCAGTTTCCTGTTTTCCATCTTTGGCTCTATTGCAAGACTGTTCTGCTGCTGAAGTCGCACAGATAGACTTTTATTATTTTGCATGTCTGCACCTTTGACTCATTCTTGACTCCTGGTGGCTGCTTGGAGAAGTCCCTGTAGTTTTCTTGGCAAGATTTTCTTAGCAAGGTGTTTCAGAAGTAGTTTGCCATTGGCCCTCCATCCCAGGGCTGAGAGAATGAGACACCCAGCTGCATTTCTGCCTAAGACAGGACTAGAACTCATGATCTCCCAGTTTCTATCCCAGTGTTTAGCCACTGCACCAAACTGGCCCTTTTATAACTTTATATTATTATTTATAATATTTCAAGCAACAAGTGGGATACCTATTTCTTCTTAAAGTAGTACCAGACTTGACCAAATGCAAAGTATAAGGAAATAGTTTCACAAAACAATTAATAGCAACTCAGTGATTTGTCCTAATCGGATTTATGTAAATCATCAGAATGATACAGTAATGCCAACAGCTGGAACAAATGAAAGTTGAGACAACAAAAAATATTTTGCTTTAAATTATGGAATTTAGTGTCTAAGATTGCACCTAAAATTATATATTAAATTATAGATATATTTAAATATCTGTAAGCCTCCTGGAATCTCTACAAAGACTTGGGCAATAAATATATTGTAAAAATAATAAATAAAATAAAATACATTCTCAGGTTTAAAAAATACTGTATAGCAGTGTTTCCCAAACTTGACAATTTTAAGGCATGTGGACTTCAACTCCCAGAATTCCAATGCTGGCTGTGGAATTCTGGGAGTTGAAGTCCACATGCCTTAAAATTGTCAAGTTTGGGAAACATTGCTGTATAGTATAGCAACAGAATGAAATGAGGAATAGTAATGACCAAGGTAAGAATACCTCTGAGCTGAAAAAATGTAGGTGACTGTTAGATGGCATCACTTTAAGGAAGGTTATATAAAGTACAGAAGAAAAGTAAGACATAGAAGGCCAATAGAATTATGGCATAAGTAAAAAAGATACAGCTTACCAAGTTTTTGAATATTGACAACATCCTCACATGGGACATTAATTATCTAGAAAATCCCAAGCCAGCATGGAGATTGCTGAGAATTCTGGGAGTTGAAGTCCATATATTAGAAAGTTAGTAAGATTGGGAAATACTGATTTGAACAAACCAGGTTCTCTATACCACTGTATGCATTCTTAAATTCACAAAAGGTCTGTGTTTATCACATCTATACATTGCCACATACATTATTTTTTATTCTTTAAACTCATCTCTTTCTGGCTGGGGAATTCATTAACTCCATTCAACCATGACTCTCTCAATGGATCCCTTCCTCTTCACCTATTTGCTCTTTCTTCATACATTTGTTTTGCATCCCCTTTAAATAACTATTTCAATGTACTTTCTTCACAGGGCTTGGTCACTTTAATTTTCAATCTACATTCTGTCAGCCCTCGTTCATTTTTGACCCTATCTGTCCTTGCTTTATCAAACACACTTCTTAAGAACCCCATTTCAAGGGCATTCAACTTTGTTATCCCAACATACGCATTTCCTAGGTAGATACAGCTGTTTTCACTTTTTTTCTAAAAGTACACAAATTGCCATGTATGTATAATTCACAATCGTTCACTTCATTTTCCTCTGAGGAGTATACTACATTGTTCTTTTCTGATTTATCTTCCTTGTATCATATAACTTTTGCTGCAAATCATTCAGGTTTTCAGCCAACAGTGCAGCAGTTATACCTCCAAGGTCTCTTCTACCTTATGATTCTATTATTATACTATATAGTTTAGTCCAGTGGTTCTCAACCTTAGCGGCTTTAAGATGGGTGGACTTCAATTCCCAGAATTCTCCAGCCAGCCTGGAAGCCCACCCATCTTAAAACTGCCAAGGTTGACAAACCTTGGTTTAGCCTTTCCATGTATGTATTTATCCACTATAGTCCACAATATCAAGTCTTTTTCTTAATTGCCCAGGTATGCTTCATGTCAATATTCCTTCTTTTCATTTAATTTATTAATTCATGCTCTTTTCATTTATTTCTTTTACATTTCCATATGCCTTGATCTTTGCTAGATAGGCCGATAGATAGGATTTTCTGCCCATCATGACTCTGGTCAACTGAAGTTTAATGTTTCTTAGTCTGTCTGTGGCTTTAGCCACACCCATGCCACATACAGGTAATCCTTGACTTATGACCAGTTACGATTCCCCTAGTTATGACCCAGTTCCAAAGTTGTTTTTTTTATATATAGATATTTTATTGGTTTTTAACTACAACAATTTCCAGTGCCTGGTGTACAGCATGTTGTCTTGGTTTACATTTTAACAACGAAAAAAGGACAGTAATAATTAATTAACAATTGATAATAATTAAATTTGATAATTCCATAATGAATATATTACTTAATAATACATTTCCTTGATCTTCCCTTCTCCCATTTTATTTTCCTTCTTCAACCTTAGCCAAAATATAATTCTTAATATTTTCAATATATAAATAATTAGGTATAGGCACTTTTTATATTTATACAAATAATAATCATCTCTCTATATAACATTTTTTTCAGCTTATATTATTCTCACAACCATCATCTCATTAGTTCAGCATACATTTATAATTTTTGTTCGCTTAGGTTCCCTTATATTCAATTCAATTTTTATCAGTCATAATTTCTTCATAATAGTCATCTCACTGTCTAAATTTTTCCATTTAGATACATCATCCCAATATTTTATGTCATGCATTATATAAAAACTAAACTTTTTATCTGTCTTATAGTATCTAGATATAACATCCTTTTTAATCAGTTTATATTTTACTTATATATTAATAAAAGTTACATCAACCTACTATTTTAATATTTAATATATTATAAAACATACTGTATTACTTAAATCGCATTATCCTTCTTGTTATAAGGCCAGTTTATGTTCGAAATTCTCTGTTCTTTTAGCCATATTCAAACAAATGTTTATTCACATAATAGTCCATCTGGTAGGGAGAGTCAAATCTCTTGTATCTGTCTCTGATCTTCTTTTGCCAAGTAATTTCCCAAATTGATGTAATCCGCTTACCCAACAGTTCCTGTATTTTTACAAATGTTGGGAATACAAAAGATGAAGTAAGTAAGATAAATTCTTTCTGTCCCCCAAACTTTAATAGTTCTCCTAATAATTCCATTTTTCTTATTGTATCAGAACCTTTTGATTTTTTCCTGTTGGTGTCAAATTGTAATTCTTTTTCTTTGTTGTTTCATCAATTTGATCATACTCTTCTAGTTTGTAATCTGCTGTCTGATTTGTTTGTTCCTTTGTTGTTATTTCCTGGGTATTTTTAAATTGTAGATTTAGATTGGAAATATGCTTATTTAAATCTTCAAAGTTGTTTCGAATTTCATCGTGGATTGAATTTATTGTCATTTGTATTTGTCCTAACATTACATATATTTCCTCTGGGAAAGTATTTATCTTGCCTTGAAGTATTACTTCTGGAGGCCCTTGATTTTCCAGGCTAAGTTCTTCAGGAGAAAATATTGAATGTGGCATCCTGTCATTTTTTGATACGTGTGTCATATCCATGTTGTCTCCCCCCTTCAAATAATCTTTCATCAATGTTTTAATTCAAAAGTCAATTTATCAGTCAAAATTACAGATTCAGTATATTAAGCCACTTTAAATCCTTCCAGCAAATTCTCCTCTAAAGGATTAGGCAAAAAGCCAAAGTTTTTTTTTTCATAAACAGTTCTTAAGTTTAAGCAACAATCCAGGTGGTTTTTTTTTCTTTCAAACACTTTTTAATCTTCCTTTGTTCCCAGCTGTCTTCAAGGTTATTTGCAATTCAGAGAAACAACTTTTTCTTTGTTTCTAGGCATTCTGCCAATTTCTGAGTCATTATTAGTGTTCTATTCTCTGATTCTCCACTAGATGTCAGCAGTTATTTCTTTTTCAATTTTTCTTTCCATCAAAAAGTTATTTTTGTTATATATTTTTATAATTCCATCAGAAATTTTTTAAGGTATAATCTTGACAGTTGTTTAGTTCCTAGATTTGTCCAGATTGAAATAATTTAAATCAAATTTTAATATATCTCTTTCTATTGTTCATGTTAAATTGCCGCTTCCGTCTGTAAGAGAAAGGGGATATAGTCCCCTGTCTTCACTTCTGGAGGTTTTCTTGCTTTGGGGGTCTTTTCAAGGATTTAAATAGTAGATAGAAGAAAGAAGATCAGTACTCTCACCAATTCCAAGCATGCTGTTCACCAATGTTTATGTTTGTGCTCTGGGACTTCAGCTGCAAGCAGCTTGGGCTAGACGCTGATCTCATGCTAGCCTTTCTCCTGGTGGGTTCGGAGGGCTTTCCCCGGATCAAACAAAGTGATTGCCGTTGCTCTGTGATTGACGGGGCGCCCCTCCTTCACGGTCACCTCTCCGGGGCAACTTT